TGCTTTTGCTATTTACACAGACCTTGCTAAGGTAAGCACCATCAAAAAATGGGACTTGTTTCCTCATCTTTATCTTTGCATGCCTTCTTCTTAGTGGGGCACTGATAACACTGATAAAATAACACTGATAAATAACACTGATAAAATGAATAAACAAGGTTCTGTCACTACGCACAGCTACTCCATTTATGTGAGACCTAATAGCAGGCATTGTTTCCCTGTGGCTCTTGTGCCTTCCTTTATATTGAACCTCATCCCCCATCATCCATTTTCCCTGTCTTGACACCAGTATACCACTACCTGGGGTGCTCAAATCTATAATTTCACCAGTACCATCTTATCTTTGATTAAAATAATTCTGTTTGACTAATGGAGTCTTTTTTTTCTCATAATGATGATGGATTTTCATTGTTTTTTTCCTATACTAGCATTTCACTATTCTCATTAGTAGATACTAGTGATTTGCATAGTAAGGAAGGAAAATTCTACTTAACGAACATGTTAATTTATAAATGGAGTTTTAAAAAATACTACCATAAGGTCCTCTCTGGTGTTGTAAGAGGTTAAGTGTCAACACTATGAAGCTATCCTCAACTACCACAGCACAAGTTCCATGAAGTGACCCACATGGTGCAGCAGACCTCTCCTGACTCTCCCACTGCTCCCCTCAGCAGTGTATTTCAGTCAATGTGCCTGTTCTGTTCCCCACTTTGTCTCTGATGAATCCTCTCAACCCCCATACCTATGGCCTGTACCCCAGTTCTTGTATGCCTAACTAAATCTTTAAAAAAAATTAAAAAATACTACCACAAATCTAATGTACATCATGTGTAACGGAGGGTCCTTTTGAATGAGTAAAAGTATTTTTTCTTGTCATATATGTTTTTCTTCTAATGTATTAACTACTGTTAGCACTATCTTCAAAACAAATTTGTTGAAGCATAAGCTTACTAAGAAGCAAACTTCAATGTCAGAATATGTGAGTTCTGATGCTCCATCCCCCTTGCTGTGTGGTCTTGGGGGAGTCTCTTAACCTTTCCTAATTTAGGTTTTCTCCTTTGTAAATAGATATGACAACATTCCATGCTTGGTATTTGGGGTGGGATTCTGTTATCTCCTTCTACAATATACAAGCAATAGTCAAATGGGACCCTGACTATTGATTTATAAGTGGCTAGGCAAGTTCCCTAAAACCACCCAGATGCAGTGCTTTTTTATCAAGGTAGTCTGGCCAATGAAGGAGTCTTGGATGCCTAAGGGAGTCTACCCTCCCCTACTTTTCTTGAATCAGAGGCAGTAGAGGAGCTGGACCAGGCTTCTAATCCATAGACAAGTGGCTACAATCAAGAGCAAAGTTCTGGGGCCTCCTTGGTGGTGCAAGGGGTCAAGTTTCAGCACTATGAAGCATTGGCAGCCACTGCAGCAAGCCTTTGATCCATGGCCAGGGAGCTACCCACATGACACAGCAGAGCTACCCACATGGTGACCTCTCCTGTTGCATCCACTGCTCCCCTCAGCAGTGTATTTCTGTCCTCTGCCTGTTCTGCTCCCTGCTCTGCCTCTGATGAATTCTCTCATCCTCCTGCGCCTCTGGCCTGTACCCTAGCTCTTGTATAAAAATAAATAAATCTTTTTAAAAAAAATTAAAAATCTTAAAAAAAAAAAAAAAAGAGCAAAGTTCTGGCGAGGTCTGTCCCTAAGAGTCAGGGCCTGGCTGGGTCTGATTAATGCCCAGGGACAGTTAGTTCAATTTTGAACCCTGAGAACAGCCCTAGGAAGTCAAAGAGGTATGCCAAGTGTGTAAAATGACTTTCAGGCATAGTGACCTGTCCAGCAGGGAAGAAGGAAAAGTGCAGCGCTTCTCTGTACACTGGCAGACATGCATGAGGCAGATGCTAGAGCTGAAAGTAGAAAAGCCACCTCCACTCCATCAATAACAACAAAATCGTTAAGAATGAAAATCCGTAGTTGTTTGTTGATTTTGATTTTTTTTCTTTCTTATAGTTATTCTTTTTCCTGGTCCCTTATTTAGTTTTCTAGATTCCTATTATGAGTGAGACCATCCGGTATTTTCCTTTTTCTTTCTGGCTTATTTCGCTGAGCATGATCCCTTCCAGCTCCATCCATGTTGCTGCAAATTGCATGTGTTCATCTTTTTTGAATGCTGAGTATCAGATGGTTTCATTTATAGGAGGAATGTAAGGGAACCAAATAAGGGACCAGGAAAAAAAAATCATAAGAAATAAAAAAATAAAATTAACAGGCAGCTATTTATCAGAGACACTCTGCGGGGGAGGGAGAGAAATCATAACAGGGGAAGGGATGTGTTCTTACAAAGGGACTATGGTGATGGTGCACAGGTGAATTGGTGATGGGGATTTCGTGGGGACTATACCTGAAAGAAGAAAGCATGCATATGCATTGCACAAAAGGGAAGAATGATGTAAAATATATATACAATAAAATTAAGAAATAGATTAAAAAAAAAAGAATGAAAATCCAGTCCTTACCTTATAGGCCTTTACATGTGATTAAATCACTTTATGACAGTTAAATACCCTGCACACACCTTCTGACAGCACCAGTGACCACAGCACCACGCCAGATAAGGTGAAGCATTTTTTTTTTTTAATTAGATCAGTGTTATCACCAAGACCATTGTACAGATGAGAAAAGGAAGGCTCAGAGACATGACTTTTGTCTGGTATAAAAACCAATAACAACCGCATCACAAACAAGCACGATGCACCCAGAACCTCACCTTGTAACTTAGATTGAGAAGCCCTCAGAAACATTTGTATTCAGAGGCTGTGGAGGGGGTAGAAGATAATCAGGCTGTTCTCTGGAAATCAAAATGTTACTTTACGCTTTGATTGTAGGAGAACCCAGGGTTGGGCTTGAAGAATGTGAGGAACATGCCAATGAACATTTGTATTTAATGTCATTAGCCCTAAATATCATTTGGAAGCCATTATTAACTTAAATTTGCCTTGTGATATGACTTCATGCATTGATCTCTAAATATATTAACAGCTTTGACATATATCCAAAAATCAAGGGTAAGTAATTTCACTTCAATTTGGACAAAGTCTTATCGTAAAACAATTTGACAAGAAAGTCATTATTTCTTTCCATTATATATGAGGAAAAACATCAAAGAAGTTCTCCAAATTGTGATTAAAAATAGTCAAAATGGCTTTGGATAAGTAAAGTTTAGGGCAACAGTAGTAAATATTTAATCTACAGTGATAGAATAAACACTTTATTTTAGATTTAAATGTTTGTTCTCTATTTTTCTGCCAAATTAAAGTTGAATTCATTCTTGAAACTAGACTCCTATTTCTGATTTCACATTTTCCTTTAAAGATTTATAACTGGGCCTCCCCTGGTGGCGCAGGCGGTTGAGCTCAGCGCTGTGAAGCTGTCCGCAGCCTCTGCAGCACCGGTTCGATCCCGGCCAGCCGGCAAGGGTCCCACATGGCGCAGCAGACCTCTCCTGTCTTGCCCATTGCTCCCCTCAGCTGTGCATTTCAGTCAGTCTGCCTGTGCTGTTCCCTACTCTGTCTCTGGTGAATCCTTTCACCCTCCTGTGCATATGACCAGTATTCCAGTTCTTGTATGTATGAATAAATAAATCTTAAAAAAAATAAAGATTTATAACCACCAGGATTGCCTAGGTGATGTCGCAATGATAAAAAACCCCAAATCTCAGTGACCTAAACTCACAATGACATAATTCCCACTCATGTTTCATCTATTATCATGTGGTACTTGGCTGTTCATGATCCTCATTTGTAGGCCTCATCTCTATGATTCATGATTACAGAAGCACGGCAAAAGGGTGAATTGAACATTGGCTCCTCTTGTTTCTATTACACAAGAGACACATCACTTCTTTCCATTCTTTCCAATGAAATGCACATGTTTATGCCTAATTTCAAAAGGTCAGAAAAGCGCATGTCTATCACATGGCCAGAAGACAAAGCCAGACATGCTGGTGAAACCAGATGGCCACTATAATAAGAATTTTATTGGTCCTATTTCATATCATGTTCACAAAATGACTTATGGTAGAGGCAATTGTTAATCTAAGTTAGATTGAAGATTTATGTTTCCTCCACAATATACTTAAAGACACTAGTTTATGTACTTAACACTTAACAATACTCGAAAACCTAAATATAAATGATATTTCTGCTTAACAAAGAAAAACAGACATTGCCTGTTTTCTTGCCTAAATGTCAATGTGAGCAGTAGATATAGATGTAACAGACTCATTTCAGTATTAATTTTGCTCCATACAATAAGTCTATCTACCTACCTGTCTATTTTATATTTATATAAGTATATCTATATACTTATATAAATATAAAATATACTTAAATACTTAAAATAGTTTAAGTATTTGAAAATAAGAAAATTAGCCTTTAATTCCAATCCAGCTTACTAAGTGAGCCAATCAAACATTATTTCCTAAGTGACAAAACACTTTCACTTTTGTGAAGGACTAAACATTTCCCACAGAATTGTGGGAAACAAAGTTCTTTGTAGCAATAAGTGAGGATGGGGCCTCCCTAGTGGCACAAGAGGTTAAATCTCAGCACAATGATGCTATCCATAGCCACTGCAGCACGAGTTTGATCCCCGGCCATGGAGATGACCCACATGGCACAGCAGACCTCTCCTGTATCACCTGCTGCTCCCCTCAGCAGGGTATTTCAGTGGATCCACCTGTTCTGTCCCCCACCCTGTCTCTGGTAAATCCTCTCAACCCCCACACCTCTGGCCTATACCCCAGTTCTTGGATGCATAAATAAATTTCTAAAAAATAATAAAATGAGTGAGGATGAGGGAAATAGAAATAGGATGTATGGGTAGGTTATAAGAAGATATATTTAAATGAATTGCCAAAACTGCTGCTCTTTCATCACATATAGATTTCTGCTCCAGCATTAGTTTAGAATATTGATTAAGTGAACCTGTTACTTTTTTTCCCTTAGGAAAATATAAACATCGACGAAGCCTCCAGGTGCCTGGTGAAGCACATACTTGCAAACGAGTGTGGCCTAATGGAGTCCATTGAGCCAGATGTTGTGAAACCCCACCTTACACCACCCAAGGCTGTCAGCTGCTCTGGTTGTGCCAAGTCCTAGCAGGCTTCTTTGCTGGAAGATCCTAGATGTCATCTCATCATCTCCTGAATCGTGCCTCATTTTTTACCATTTTGGGTAAATGTCAGGATAGGGCTACACATGTGACAAACCAAAGATCTATGCCTGTGTCTTTTGTGTAAGAGAGAGAGATAGCAAATGTTCTTTTTATGTATTTCCCAGCACCAGCACAGTGTTTACAGTCCTTTTAAATATTTAGTCTGTTACAGAATTGTGTTTCAGCAGCTGACCAAAAATTCTGCCATTCCAAAGCCAGCCCTGCTATTTGCTTCTTTGAACCAGTCGAGGCCTCAGGTTTTAGAGAAAGGGCAGAGTAGCAGACTGGCTGTCAAGTTAAGCACAGGCATTCATGTTGCCCCTGGTGTCTTTGTCCAGATTTCTATACATTGTCTGCTGGTTTGACAGGCCTATTGAGTAGAAACAGTATTTTTTCCAAAGATAACTTCCATTCTCTACAGAGCTAAGAGCTATCCCGATTTAGCTCTCAGAGTCATGTACACAGGCTTCCTGGGCTTTGTTGCTGTTATTGTCTGTTTAACTGAAAACTGTATGAAAAGATAGATGTGCCCCTTATATGTGCCCTTTTGTTAACTTTCTCAGATTCAAGTTGTGGGACTCGTATGTATGTGTGATATATATTATATATATTTTCACAAGTGAAAACTAAAACATTAAAAGATGTTGATTTCCTGTTTCTGAAAGTGTTTTGGTTTTCTTAATATTGTAAACCTTTTTTTTTTTTTTTGAACTATGTATCCATGTTCTCAAGATCCATTTCTAAAGTTTCACTTTAAAAAGAAGATGCAAAATGTGCACTTAAACAAACTGCGGGGCACTTTTTTTTAAAGATTTATTTATTTATTTTTATTTATATAATAGCTGGGGTACAGGCCAAAGGTGTGGGGGGTGAGAGGATTCACCAGAGACAGAGTGGGGAGAAGAACAGGCAGACTGACTGAAATACACTGCTGCAGGGAGCAGCGAGCGGGACAGGAGAGGTCTGCTGCTCCATGTGGGAATCTCCCTGGCCCCTGGCCGGCCGGTATGGAACCATCACTGCAGAGGCTGGGGCAGCTTCACAGCGCTGTGCTCAACTCGCTGTGCCACTGGGGCGGCCCTTTGGGGCACAATGAAAACTGAAATGAGTCTGTTGCATCTCTAGCTACTGTTTACATTGATATTTATCCAAGAAAGCAGGAAATGTCCACGTTGTCTTTGTTAAGTAGAAATATTACATATTCTGACCAAGAAAATCACCAGACCCATCAGCATTCAAAGAAGCAACAAAAATATACATGGTGCTATTTTGTTTTACATAATCAATGTAATTATATAATTATGTTTTACATAACCAATGGCTGTGGTGCTGAGATGCTGCAGGCAGTTACAACTTTTAATGGCATTATTTTCCATTAATAATACACTCACATATGCTTTATCTTTAAAAAAAGCTGTAAGTTCTTCTATTGAAACACTGCATTTTAACTATATAAGTTTAAGATGTGCGTCATTATAAATCAATTTAACTCAGTCAGACCTTATTAGTGGCTCACACGTGAATGAACCAGCGCCGGTCAGGAGGGGTTTAACCCGGCTCTGTGAGGGTAGTTGGGAGGACATATTTAGAAAGTGCATCCGTGATCAGGGCAGAGGGTCAAGGTCATTGTTTGTCTCTGCTTGAGCTCCAACCAGGTATGTGAAAATGGGTTTCATTTCCTCTCCTCACGCAGGGTTTTCCCACTCCTGGAAATTATAAGGCAATTATTAGTCTGTACCTGACTCTTTCCTTATCCAGCGTGATGTCGATCTAGTGTCTACAGGATGTCAGGGTAAGATCTGTCACTGATTTACTCCATCCCCTCCAACAGAACTTCAGGTAGCTGGTGATCCAATTCCCTATTCAGACACGGCTTAGGGCAATCCACATACTATAGGCTCATACTTTCTTTCTTTTAAGTACACCTGTGAGTATGCTCTGATGATAAGCATTGCTCAATGCTTCCAACACCCAATCACCAAATTATTTTATGTCCCATTTACCCTCCTTTTCCTTTAAAACCCTTTCTGGTGCTTAGTTGTAGAGTCAGAGTATGAGGAATTTATATTATTAATATTTGCCTCTATTATTACCTCTACAGGTAATAAAACTTCTTTTGTCCTGACAAAAATGTGTGACTGGTCAATTTGGGTACATCCGAGTAACAAGTCTAATTGAGTTCATTAATACATAAATCTCCTCATATAGTGTTTTCATATTCTTTGGGTAAATACTAGGAAGTGAGAAAATTGGATCATATATAAATTTAATTTTAAATTTTTGGGAATCTCCATTCTGCTTTTCATAATTTATTTTAATTGTATGGAGTGGCTCAATTTCCTGTGTGTGTGAGAGAGAGACAGACAGACAGACAGACAGAGAAGAGGAACAGAAGGAAGGAGAGACAGAGATGGAGAGATTCTGAATCAGTAGTGAGCTCACCTTTGGGAACAGATCATAAAAACACTAATACTGAGAATTAGGCAAGGAGACTTCATAGTAAACAATCTTTAACTAGGAAATGCAAGGCTGTTTTCAACCTTGGCTACCAATTGAAACCACCAGAGAAATTTGAAAAATCTGATTCCTGGATATCATACCCAGAGATGTTAAAAAAAAAAGAAAAAAAAAAAGAAAAAAGGTTATCCTGCTATCCTACTTAAGGTGGAAAATCAGTACTCCAAAAGCTAATCAAATGATCATGTCCCCATGCCCTCAGGATTTACAATCTAGGAAAGTCTTGCATAGTGAAAAAATTATAAAAGTTAAGTACTCCCCTACTTTGCAATTCAGCATTTAATTTTGAATTTATGTTTTTTCAACTCTCAAGCCGCCTCAGGCTGCTGCAGGGATCTCTCAGGGAAGAGATTGCTCCACTGGACATGGAAAGACCGTGGTAGTAACTGAGAATGTGAGGTAGTAAGTGATGAGATACAAAGAGAAGCAGATTTTGCTGTAAAACTCTGTGAGTGAATGGAAGATTGTATAGAAATGGTGCAGTTTTGCAGTGCTAGAGGGTTTTCTTTGAAGAGATAGTATTACCTAGGAATAGAAAACAGAAAGTAACAGAAGCCGAGAGAGTTAACAGTATGTGGAATGAGACATTTTAGGAACACAAGCATCAGATAAAGGAGTTAAATTGTTTTCTTCTTGAAGATTCAGATTCCTTTCATTGCTCATGGGCTTAAAATTTTTAAATTATCCTTTTTTTTCCCATTCCCTGCCTAGAACTGTTAAATTTTAACTATAGTTAAAATTTGAGAGGAAGCTTTTTTTTTTTTTTTTTTTTTTTGTCACAGATGTTTTGAGCTCTCCCACCCATGTTACCTTGGGACTAAACCATGGTCCCAGAACTTACGGTGGCGTGGTTAGATATGGAACTCAAACATGTTAACAGTCCACCGTGTATTGAGAGAGAAGTCAAATGTCCAAAAAACATATCTTTCTAAACATAATTTGTTTCTAAATCCATGGACTATGACTCCATTCATACTTAAGGAGATAGACTATATTTTACTAATGTTATCTTCCTAGAACACTGGGATTTTGTTTAACTAGCTCTAGCTCGTGCTGCTGTTTATGGTATTCTTCTTTTTTATTTTTTTGGCCTGGAAGCCTACCCCTCCATTGCGGACCAGCAAGAGGCAGTCCTGTAGCTTTGTCGATCCCTGTAGGTAATTCAAAGCCCTTTCCACACTTGCACACTTGTTTTATTTATCTGTAATTATTAGTAAGTTAACATTGGTTTATAATGTGGCTTGTGTTATAATAGCATAAAACCTCCCCCTCCAGGTGTTGTTACCACAGGGACCACACAGACACCCAGAACACCCAGCATTTACCACTGTCCACCTGCTTTGTTCTCGCACCATCTCCCTTGCCCACCCCCTCTGGGACCCTCAGTTCTATAGTCAACTCTCAAGTTTTATTTTTTGAGTTTGGCCTTATGTGACACTCTGGTTTCTCTATATTCCACACGAGTGACCCCATCCCGTTATGTATCGTCTTTCTTTTTCTGACTTATTTCACTGACCATAATGCCTTCCATCTTTGTCCATATATCCAATTCACAGGAGCTTATCTTGCTGATTCTATCATCAAACACTAAAATGCTACATAATAATGATATATCGACTGGTATAAAACATGCAGTATTGGATGGGCACTGTTATGTTACTGTAACTTTATTTTGTCACTTAATCTCCACAATCAACCTACATGACAGTAAATATCTCCTAATTTTATATATGAAGAAATTGAATACAGAAATAATAAGCGGCTCGCCAAAACTCACACCAACTGGTGATGCAAGGATTCAAACTGAGACAACATAACTCCAATGTCCATAAGTCTAACTGTTATGTTAAATTACCTCTTATGGATTTTCGGGATGGGAACAATATTCTGACTGCAGAGAACAATACACAGTGCAGGAAGTGAATATAGATTTTTCCATATAACACTAATAAGCATTTCTCTTAATTACAGTGAAGGGTGATGCTGTCCTGAGACCTTACATATAAAATGCTAAGCATAATGCCAAAAGCACGCCAAGTATTATTATGATACTATCCTGTTTGTTTGCTTATTAAATTGAAGGAGTACAAACAAAGCTATCAGATAAGAATGGTGGATTTTTTTTTTTTTTGAGGCATAGAAAATGGAACACTAGAAACTGTATACACAGACATAGATTTGACTCTACCTAGGGTTGAGGAGTTTTGAGCCTAACTGCTAAATGACACAGGCATTCTTTTCCAAAGTTATATTTATTTATGCACACAAGAACTGGGGTATAGGCCAGAGGTGCAGGGGATGAGAGGATTCACCAGAAACACAGTAGGGAGCAGAACAGGCAGACTGATGAAACACACTGCTGAGGAGGGCAGCGGGCGAGACAGGAGAGGTCTGCTGTGCCCTGTGGGTTAGCTCCCTGGCAGGCGGGGATCGAACTCCTGCTGCAATGGCTGGGGATAGCTTGATGGCACTGTCTTTAACCCCTGCACCACTAGGGAGGCCCCAACATAGGTATTCTTTTTGAGTGATGAAATGTGTTTGATTGTGATACTTTTTTTTTAAAGATTTATTTATTTATTTATCTATCTATCTATCTATCTATTTATTTATTTATTTATTTATTTGTTTGTTTATTTATTTATTTATTTATTTATACAAGCACTGGGTATAGTCAGAAGTGCAGGAGGGTGAGAGGATTCACCAGAGCCAGAAATGGGGAGCAGAACAGGCAGACTGATGAGGAACACTGCTGAGGGGAGCAGCAGGCTCAGCAGGAAAGGTCTGCTGCACCATGTGGGACCCTTGCCGGTGGCCGGAGATCAAACCGGCGCTGCAGAGGCTTCGGGCAGCTTCACAGCCCAGTGTTCAACCGCTGCCCCACTGGGGAGGCCCTGATTGTGATACTTTCACAGGACTGTATATATGCAAAAATCCATTGGATACTTAAATGTGTGAACTGTACATTACCATAAATAATAACACTTTGACAAGAGAAAGCAGTATGGGTTATTGTTTCCCCTAGTGCATTATTTTAGCTCTACTTAGGAGTATGGTCCTAGTGTTCTTCTGTAAGAAGCATTCTTAGGGAGCACCACTACTGGTTTGCGTAGTCATTGCTTCCGAAGCTATAAC